CGATTCCGGTATCACCGATCTCAAACACACGCCCCGTCCGGCGATTCCGGTATGATCTATCTTAAACACACCCCCACCCCATCACATAGGCGATTCCGGTATCGTCTATTTTCAACACGCCCCTTAAAGACGCCCTCTCACGTGGCGATTCCGACTCATCGTATATCTGAAACACGCCCCCTCGCTTGGCGATTCCGGCAGCATCCATCGTAAACACACGCAACGTTCGGCGATTCCGGTTCGTCGTATTCGCGACTCCGGTATCTTGTATTACCCTTCCCCCTTCCCTTGTATTCAGAGGTATTAAAAATAATAGTCATGCGGCCCCCCCACCCCCCGGGTTCTTAAAAAGTTTCGGGTGCGCCCTCGTGTATGGAGTCAATTTTTTTGGGAAGCCGAGCAACGTGGGTGCGACTGTTTTTTTTTTCGGACTTGGAATCTTGAAGTTCCGGATGTGGAACTGCGTGGACACACCTGATTGGACACTGGGTCGTGTGTTTCTCCTGCAGTAGCACGCAGACCTCGGACCGACACCGCTTTGTTTGGAGGTTTTTCAAAATCAAAAATTCCAAGCTTGAATCGCTTGGAGACTCCGTTTGCAAGAGCAAGAGATAAGAACTCCAAACATACACGACACAAAACAGGAGCAAATAGGAGCCACGGAGCAGTGCTCCACAAAAAAAACGACCTTCAAGTTGGTTTGTGACCGAACTTCGGATGTTGTTGTGAACAGCTTTCTGTCTTGTCCGCATCAACACTAAAGAAGCAGTTGGGGATGAGGAGCTTCATCCAGCACAGTACACTCCGCTAAAAGGGTGCGCCTGATTGGCTCCGAAAAGCAGCGAGCAGTTTGAAGGTGCCCGCGGCCAGAGATATCCAGCTGTTTGGACGCATAGGGATCTTGAGTGCAGGTTCGGTCCTTTGTTCTCCGTGTCCAGAAACCAGTCATGAGTTGGGTGCTTTGATATGTCGGCAACGTGCATGCATAGTGTGGCTCAAGGAAGACTAGATGTAGCTCCTGACCATGCGACGTCTGCTCGGTGCAGTCCTGATCAGTCCACCTGCCCTGCATGAATCACACAAGCCATACTTGGAGGTTCATGGGTAGTTATAAGTGGGGTTATAAGTCCCCTAATATGGGTTATAATTTTAGTTGCCCTACTTATAACTACCCATGAACCTCCAAGTAGACCCCTAGTTGAAAGATCAAAGCCAAGAAGCAGCAGATGGCAGCGCAGTGCAGCGCAGCGAGGAAAGCTTGAATCCAGCGACTCTGGAAGCTTTGGCCGAGGCCTAAGCTGGGTTCTTGTTACTGTCAGGAATTCAATTTAAGCTACCCTATATCTCACACGGCTTGGACAGCAGTGCAGCGCGAAATTCAAGTTACCGTCATACAGAAACCATATTATTTACTATTGATCCCGATTATGGTAACATAAAATCAAATTCCTTGTAACAAGAACCAAGTAAGTTCATGGAGCCTTTGCATATAACGTCAGAGCATACCACAGCCATTATCTCCAGTGCACCGGACGCGCTCGAACAAAGACATGTGTGATACGGAGCTGGCGAGAAGACGTTTACCTTGATCATGCCTCATTTTAGTTTGGTTGTTTCCGGCACCGTGCTACCGGTCAGCATCGCAGCAAGAAACACTTGCTTTTGTTGAGGGTTGCTTCTGCCCGCGGAATGGGGCGAGCCAGGACACCAAGCAGGCGCTGTCTGCCCGCACCCTGCGTGATGCAGATGACATCTCGGAAGGGACGACAAGGAATATTTGCCGAAATCTTGGGTCTTGCAGTGGTTGTGCTTCTGTGCCATGCCGGAGCCCGAATAGCCGTCCTCGGCTCATTCAGATAGGGATAGAGAAAGATGGCTGCAAAACGGATTCCATATCGGATCTCGTGGCATTTTGCCCTGATCCTCGAATTGACTTGCATTGAAGCCCTTCGCGACTCAGACCTGAACTTCCGCACGCTTACGACGCTCGGCACGCACATTTTTCTAAAGCTTCTTCACCCGCTGAGACTCAAGAGCAGACCCTGTCAGTCTTCACGTGCCGAAAGAAGGGTGTGGTATGTTTTGATCCGGCAGACCTGTTGCAGTCCGAAACGGGGAGAGTAAACAGCTCTCAGGACCTCCCAGGAGTGCCCAGAGACCTGCACATCGCCTTCTGGCCGCAGTGGCTCCTACGAGCTGCACGGCGAAGCCGCTAAAAGCCTTGGTAAGGCCAAGCAGCTCGGACTGAGGGAAAAAGTTTACGGTTTAGGTCTGTAGAAGGTTACGAGTTAAGGTTCAGGGTTTAGGGTTTAGGTTAGGGTTTAGGGTTTAGGGTTTCGATGTTTCTGATTTTGGCTGCTTTTGGAGGGAGTTGGGCCGCCGAGGTACTTTGTGAGCACCGACTGTGCAGCTGCCTTGGCCGATCGCAGCCCCACTGCCAACCTCGTGCCCTGGATCGATGCGGAGGACTGGAGAAGGGCTGACGCCCTGCAGGCTCCTTGAAACCTCCTAAATAATTGCATCGAAGGCCCTCGAAACAGCATGGCATCAAGCAAGAGACAGGGGCTGATGATTGGAAGACATCATCACGTGCGATTCAGTCCTGCTGGAAGGACCCTCTGAATGGCTCCTTCGTGGCAGTCTTCGTAGACCCCGTCCTCATTAACAAGATCCGTGCTGGGACGTCGGACAAAGCCAAGCTCTGTGCAGCTCAGCCGCTTGGCAGCCAGGTATCGATGCACAAGTGCATGCCGGTTGAAAGAGGATCGGCTTCTGTGTGCCGCGAGCATAGCCTCGCTGCACTTCTGGGTCAAGTGAGGAGCGACGAGGCCCATTGCGTTTGCAAGCTGACGGGTGAACGGCCGCTGGGTGTTGCTCGGCTAAGTAGTGTTTCTTGCGGTTCTAGTGCTGATAGAGGAGAGGTTAGATGTCAGGATCCAGGTCCCTGCTAGGCTGCTTGTGGAGAAGGTAAGGAGCGCAGAGTACTTGCAACGCCGGTTCCTAGGGTTGCGAGGGTTGGGATTGAGGAAGGCCCGGACATGGAGGCTGAGAGGTATTGGGGCGGTGTCTGAGTGACAACTAGTTCAGGAGCCCCAAACCAAGTTCCGCCCCTCTTTCGTCCCAAATGCGAGGTGCTGGGACGCATGTTGGTGGCACTTCCCCACTCGAAGAAAGCGCAGGCACTGCAGCGACTCTGATGCAAGCAGCTCGGAATGTTTCCTGGAGGTGGAAGTGTCCGAAGTTCCTGCGACATCCTGCAAGCGCTTGCCCAAAAGGATTTCCATGGAGAGCTGCCCGGAGGGCGTGCCTGACCTCCTGGCTGGCGCCTGGGCGGTGGGGGATTGTTGTCCTTTAGTTAAGGGTCGGCTGTGATTTCAGGCTTACCCGGGCTTGAAGCTGAGGCACTGTGCTGGCAAGCCTCGTCTTGACTCTTGGCGTGTCTGTCTGGATGCTGCACATGGCCCGGGCCAGAGAGAGGCTGCAGGAGCCCGTGGCGCCTCCTCAGATTCTTGCGGAGGTGAAGAGCCCGATGCACAACTTCCTCAGCAGCTACTCCTGGGCAGCCGGCTTTCTCCTCTCCTTGATGGCCTTGCAGACGGGCGCCCTGGCAGTGGTCCGGAAGTCCTCCGAAGAAGAGGCTCGTAGTTTCAGAAGAGAGCTGGAAGCCACGCCGAGCTCCCCTCTTTAGTTCCCGCAAACCCCGCGGCAGGCGCCCGTGTGGATCGTCGCGGCCTGCCCCGCCGCCCTGGCACTTGCAGCTGCCCTGCGCCTGTCGCAGCTTCTCGCGAAGAAGCAGCTGGTACACGCATTCCTGAAGTGGAACATAATCATCACTGATTTGCCGGATGACGTAATCCTCGACGCCGTGCTCGTGGTCGGCATCCTTGCATACTTCCTCTTCGTCCTCTACCTCGTGAGCATCGACTTCCAGACACTGGTGTTCGCCTTGACCGCTCTGGGCGGATCATTGTGGACGGTCCTCAAAGCGGTGAGCACTGCGAGGGACTTGGACCAAGGTTTACAACTCGTCGAGATCAACCCGGCATCGCTTGTGAGGAGCGCGGAATCGCTGAGCATGAAGCCGCTACCCTGGGCGACACTGCTGGCGCTCAGCAGAATGGAGGACTCCGCTGACAGAGCTTGTCAGACAGCGAGCATTCAAACATGCAGCAACAGAAGCAGTTCACATAGGGTTGCAACAACCGAAACAAGACAGTAGCAATAGCAATAAGGGCCGCAGTGACCACAGCCCCAGCAGCAGCAAACAGCTGCAGCCGCAGCAGCAGAGGCAGCGACAGCAGCAGCAGCAGCAACAACAACAACAAGAACGACAAGGACAGCAACCTGGACGTCGTCCTCCTCCTGGTCGCCGTCTTTTCCGTCCGTCCATCAGTGCTTCCTCCGCCTCCTCCTGCTCTTCCTCCTCTTGCTCCTCCTCCTTGTCCTCCTTGTCCTTCTAGTTCTCCTCCTCCTCCTCCCAGATCTTGCTATCTCTTTTTCCTCCTCTTCGTGGAGGTGGTGGTGCGCGGTGGAGACGACGATGATGATTATGTGGGTGGTCATGGTGAAGTTATGGTGAGTGTGATGATGACGATGACGCTGATGATGATGCTGATGGTGATTGTGATGCTGATGCTGATGATGATGGTGACGGGGCTCGCAGGACCTTCGCAAGCTCTTGGAGTCGGACTCCCCCGGCACCGGATCTGCGCTTTCCCCGAAAGCATCGTCCCCCAGGTGCTGGACATCTGTAGCTCGGCAGGGGCCCCTGCTCCGTTTCTTGAGCCGCTCCCATACCGGCTTCCTCGCATTGCCGGCCTTCCTGGCCCTGGTGGCATTCTCCTGCTGCGTCTCTGCTGGGCACATGGCGGCCTATGCCTGTTCGGCCGGGGAGCTCGCTGACCTGAAGCTGGCCAGCTCCTTGCACTCCCTGGACTTCCTGCCGTGGCAGCGTGGTTCGCAAATACTTGGAGGTTCATGGGTAGTTATAAGTGGGGTTCTAAGTCCCTTAATAGGGGTTATAATCACAATTACCCTACTTATAACCCTACTTATAACTACCCATGAACCTCCAAGTATCTTGTTCTTTGCATGGGGCGTGCGAAGGAGAGGTCGTAGGTTGCTTCCTGTTCGGCTCTGAGGCAGACTCGCTATGAAGTCACCAGCGACGTCTCCTTCACCAAATTGGCCCTGATGGCTTGGGTCCAGCCCCCTACCACGCGCCTCATCTCCATCACCCAGCCGCAAGCCACCAGCATGCCCCCCTCCAGCCCCCGAGTCATTGCCGTTGACGAGAAGCAAGGCGCGGCAGTCGAAGGAATCCAGCTGGCGCACCGGCACATTCCTCGGGTTGCCACGGTGGGTGTTCAGGGCCTCCGGCCTTCTCGCCCCGAAACCACATACGAAGTGCGCTTCTCACCATCGGCCACCATGCCGGCAGCCCTCAGGATCACCGCCCAGGACTTCAATAGAACCATCGCCTGGTCGTCCTTGCCGGGATCGATGTTCAGCATCCCAGAAGGCCAGTGCTGCAACATGATCGGCATGTCGATATGTGTGTGTGTGTAGGCAGAAAGAGATGGGGGCTGTCGCTCTTGCTTCAGGTCTCCAAGACTTCCACTTCGAGGTGCAGCTCGCGGACTTCCTCCTGGGCCTCCCGAAACCCCACAGCCAAGGACCCGCTACAGGGCAGCTTTGGACAGCCTACCGTCACCACCCGAATGCAACGGAGGAGAGCTGCAGGAAAGACTGCGGCCACGACCTGGAATGCTTGGAGTCCTACGTGGGACCGGGGGGCTGTTACGGGGTCCTCTCCGACCGAGAACAGTGGGAATCCGGTGACCTCCCAGAGGATCTCTCAAGCTCGCTGCAAGCCGCAGAGAAGAGCCTCAGGGGCCGCTTGAGCGGTTGTCGGCTAGGGGAGGACCGAGCAGAGGCAGAGGCCAAGCGAGGCAAGACGCAGTGCGGCGATGTGGAGATGAAGGCAAGCCACCTCCAGCTCCCCTTCGGCAGAGTCCGGCCAGATTGGGCCAGTCGCCTCGCTACGCTCAACTTCGCTTTGGAATTGGAGATAGGCGGACAGAAGTTCGAGGCCGAGGCAATACCCATCTCCTTCAGGCAAGGGGCGCCACCTCCAAGCGACTCCATGGCCCTGCTGCTCGGACAGAACGGCAGCGGCACGTTCGTGCTGAAAACCGAGAGCTCCCTGGACGTGCAGGCTTAGATGTGCTGTCAACAGTGATTGTCTCTTGAATGTGAAGGGTGGCGGCAGAGCTTTGTGGGATGTTTAAGTGCTCTCAAGCTGACCCAGTTTGCAGGGCAACGTGGTCGTCTCCATCTCCAAGTACGACCCGCTTGCCTTCGAGAAGCTCCGCTTGCTGGTGATGCCGATGCTGCCCGACCCGGCGCCTGGGCTCCTGCTGCTTCCGGCTTGTCCGCGGACGGTTTTGGGTACTGGCATAAAGGGCTTCTAGGACTTACAGGTGTGAACAAAATAGCAGAGGTTGGGAGGGAGGGAGAGAGAGCGAGAGAGACTGCGAGAGCGGTCCAGTCGAAAGGAGCGCTAGCCGAGGCCTTCCGGGCCAACTGGTCCCAGTGGTCTGGTTCCACAAAGGCAGACCAAGAGCTCCTGCAGAGGCACGGGCGCTGCTTGGAGAGCGCTCAAGTCCGCTCTCGGTACAGAATCTGCGGTGCGTACGACGGCGCCAACCACAGCTCCGGCCTGGGAGATGAACCCCTGGCTGTGCAGCTTGACCCGCTCCAGGGGCAGATGGACGCCCCTCGCCACTTTACGGTGGTGCCACGTAAAGCGCGCGAGTGGGGTTTCTCGCCTTCGGAACAGCGCACTGTCGTCTTGCAGTATGACGGAGTGGACAGCCCCGCTGCCTGGGCAGCTCAGTTGCACGGATGTTCAGTTGTGAATGTGAGCACGAAAGCTGAAGGCGCCGTCCTTTCCTCGACTGACGCGCTATGTAAACTCCTCACCACTTGCCATGCACATCTGTGCGAGCAAGTGCGGAATCAAAGCCTGGGTGGCCAGAAAATAAGTGTCCCGTGGTCATTCGATTACGTCCACCCACCTGCTCTGCTGTCGCCAGATGGCACCGTGAAGCTCTTAGCCTGCATGGAAGGGGCAGCTCCAGCCTGCAGCGAACGCATTGGCAAGCGCTGGCTCTACAAGCAGGGATGGGTTGGCATGCAGGGCTACAGCCTGGCGTTCCCCGTGAAGTCCTTGCTGAAGCAAGCGACCAACGGCACCGCGCTGAGCCTGCTGAAAGAGGTCCACAGCAACTTGACCCAAGAGGAAGGCAAGAGCTTCGATGAGTACGCTGCGCGGGAGGTCTGGCGACTGCCAGAGCTGTCAGGTGACCTTCTCGCCACACTGGCGGCCCTAGGCGACCAAATGCCCAAGGACCTGGCAGACGCTTTGCTAAAGAGCCCCTTGGGCACGATGCCACCCGTGACGCTGCAGGTGCAGGCACAACTCCTTACCTCGTTGTGCTCTCAGTTCGTTTTGTTGCTATTTTTTTTCCCTCTCTCTCTCTCTCTCGCTTTGTCTCTTGCATTTTGTATTGTATGGTGTCGGATCAGTCGCGCCTGTGCGCGTCAGCAGGCGGCCTTCGCCCACCTGACGGACCTGACGGTGCAATTGGAGGATGCGGCCCAGCTCGGGCAGCTGGGCGCGCTGGCGCAGCTCGCGCCGAAGCTGCGAGAGCTCCGCCTCGGCTGCATCCGGTGTCCGGCGGAGCGCAAGACGGTGGATCCCGAGGCTCTGCGGCTCTTCGCCCGGCTCAGCGGTCTCCGCGAGTTGAATTTCGTCGAGTTCCGGCTCTTGAAACTTCCAGAGGAGGCCTTCGGAAGCCTCGGAGAGCTGACGAGTTTGGCTCTGTCCCACAACCAACTGCAGAGCCTGGAGCCTAACGCTTTCCAGGGGCTCAGAGGGCTGAAGCGGTTGGATCTGTACCGCAACCAACTGCAGAGCCTGGAGCCTAACGCCTTCCAGGGGCTCAGAGGGCTGAAGGGGTTGTTTCTGTCCCGCAACCGGTTCCAGAGCCTCAAGCCCGGCACTTTCCAGGGGCTCAGAGGGCTGGAGGTGTTGGCTCTGTCCGACAACCAACTGCAGAGCCTGGAGCCCGGCGCTTTCCAGGGGCTCAAAGAGCTGAAGCGGTTGGCTCTGGACGGCAACCAACTGCAGAGCCTGGAGCCTAGCGCTTTCCAGGGGCTCCAAGAGCTGACGGAGTTGGCTCTGTCCCGCAACCGGTTGCAGAGCCTCAAGCCCGGCACTTTCCAGGGGCTCCAAGAGCTGACGGAGTTGGCTCTGTCCAACAACCAACTGCAGAGCCTGGAGCCTAGCGCTTTCCAGGGGCTGAGAGGGCTGAAGCGGTTGTATCTGGAAGGCAACCAACTGCAGAGCCTGGAGCCTAACGCCTTCCAGGGGCTCAAAGAGCTGAAGCAGTTGGCTCTGTCCGACAACCGGTTCCAGAGCACCCCAGCGATCTGCAAGGAAGAGGGAGTGCACTGCTAAAGTTTGATTCGGGCGGAGTGCGGAGAAGGACAAAAAGGCGGCTGAGCGTGCCTCGGTGGTTCGTTGAGCTTCGGCACCGGGTCCCTCACCAGCCCGTGAGCCCTCGCTCTGGTGCAGGCCGGAAGTCGGGGGGAAAGCCTCCATAAGCTTACGCCGTTACCGGCCCGGTCCTCAGGCTGCAACGGAATCTCGGTTGAAGTTTGAAGGTTTTCGGGGGCTTCGTACTGGTAGGTTTCGAACCAGGAGTCTCGGAGGCTCAGCGTTTGTTCCTGGATCTTTTGGCTTTGAGTGGCTTCGAGGCTCTGTAGTTTCGAGGCACCGCGAGTTTCACTCGCCCCAAGTTTCCTTCCTTTCAACACAGAGGGTATGTAGGGCATAGCACATGGGGGGCCGCTTTAGCAGATTTTGGGGTGCATGTTCGTGCAGAGGACCAGTTGCCGAGCCGTGGCTGCGGGGATCAGAGATTTCTCGCAGAATTCGAACCCTCGATTCTGAGCAGCATACTCTCACAGAATGTTTGTTGTCGCATGTACCTCCCCACCCTCACTTGAACATCCATCCACTGCAGCCAGGCTCGCACAGGATGGGACGCAGAGACGTGCAGCATCGGCAGGAAAAGCTGCTCATGCCGTTTGCTTGGGAGTGTGCAGACATGTTTTCCACACCAGTCGAAAGCAAACCCTAAACCCATAGCTCCAGTCGTTGTGGCAACATGTGCCCACATCGCTTTGCTCCGGACTTACTTGCAGCCAAACTGCGTGGGCGCCAGATTGCAGTGTCCTTTCCGGTTACGGTGAAAACTCTCCGCGGTGCCTGTGACTGCTACTTTCCGACATTGGACATGCTTCATTTGCTTTTGAAAACTGGGTTAATTTTGTTTTTGAGAGTGGCAATTGTTAAAGTTGCAACAATGTACATGGCATTCATGGGCGGCAAAGACCGCCTTGCCTTGGCACTTCTGGCATGGGCACTGGCAGCCGAAGCCAACGTTGAGCTGCCGGACGTGGTCGAAGATGTGCAGGCAGTTAGCCAGGTGCAGCCCCCAACGGCTTTCGTGACAGCACCACCGAAGTTCTTGCCCGATTCTGCGTACATCCACAGCATGCCTCCTGCAGATTCTTCTGGCCGGATGCATTTCTATATCTCTGCAATGGTTCTGTTTTATGCCGGTGTGGTGGTCTTGGGAACCTTCATACTGTGGTTGGGCACTAAATGCAAGAATTGCAAAGCTGAGCCAGAGCACATCCTTAGCTCTTTGGAAGATGGTTCTGATGCTCCGCAACTGCCTCCACGGAAAGCAGGGCTGAGTCGCAGGCGGGATCAGCAACAAGTTCATTGAATCAGATGTTGTGTATCGCTTTTATTTGTGTAAGGGCAATCCCTGGCAGCATTGTGTTCTAGGTGTAAGCGGGCGCTCTTTGCGATCACATTCAGCTTCACATATTCTGCAACGTTGGCGGCAGCTTTTGCGAGTGGCGCCACAGGAAGGTTAAGCCAGAAGACAGGCTTATGTTGGGAAGTTTACCTGATACTCTTTGGCACCGCTGGTGCATGGCAGTTTCTAGTCTGCATTCGACAGAGCATTTCGCAGAGATTAAGTCCTTACCGTCATGTCGCCGGTTGCAAGCTGAGGATTACGCAGGCAATCATTGCTGCCGTGATTCTCCCCAAAGGGCGAAGGCAAGTCGGAGCTTCTGCATGGTGCCTTTTTTCACGGGTTCTCCCATCGTCCCAACCCTAAACCCTAAACCCTAAACCCTAGTCATCAAGATTCGCGGGCCGAAGCCCCGACAACTCGCAAGCAAAGGAGCATCCTGCCCCGGGTTTTTGTTCCAGCAGAGGGAGGCGTATGGAGTCAATTTGTTTGGGAAGCCGAGCAACGCCCACCACCATTTTTTGTTTTTAGAGATGTCTCCACGTCCTTCCGCACAGTTCAAGTCGGAGCAGGACATGAAGCACCATTCCGAAAGTTGTCGCTGTGGAATGGTCTGTTGGCTTTCGAACCAGTCTCTAGGCAACCCCTAAACCCTAAACCCTCAACCCTAAACCCTAAACCCTAAACCCTAAACCCTAAACCCCAAAACGTTAGGTATGATGGTGCATGGAGCCTTCTCAACTAAGTCAGCAGCTCCAGCCTCACAGCTTCAGTTTCGTCGCGAGCGAGCTCAAACTCTGGACTGAAGCAGATGCGTTGAATCCTTTTTAGGTGCATGCGAGAGTTTCCGAAAATTAGGGTACCTTATTTTTTGGGGGGGGGGTTATAATAGGGATCCTACTATTTAGGGTACTATAGTAGGGTCCCCCTATTTTCGGAAACTCCCATATAATCAGATAGGGCTTCTTATTCTGAATCTCTTGGTCTCCCTCTCATCATGATTTAAGGTGGACTCCTGAAGCAAGGGGCACAGGGTTTAGGGTTTAGGGTTTAGGGCTTAGGGTTTAGGGTCATTGAGCTCTCTGGCTTAACAGGTACGGCTTGAAGACATTCTTCACCGCCTCCCTCAGCGGAATGTGCCCGATTATCTCCGACGCCTACGACACCTTGAAGGAGCCTAAACCCTAAACCCTAAACCCTAAACCCTAAACCCTAAACCCGAACCTTGGAATCTCGCATCCCAGGATCTCAAAGTCCAAAAGCGAGTTTCAGTTGCAATAGTAGGATACCCGAATCCGCAGCACAGATCTTCTGTGCCAAGTCCAAAAGCTTAAACCCTAGGATCAGACTGGCGCGGTTTTAGGCCGCATAAACCCGAAGCCCCCAAGCCCCATCAAACCTGTGAGCCCAAGAAGTCTTTCAGTCCCTACAAAGCACTGAAACATATACAGCCACTGTCAAGACCTGATGTCGAAGGCTCTGGGGTACTTTTTATCCTTTTTTGTTAGTTTCTAGTTTCGTTTAGGGTATCTTCAAGCATAAAGCTTTCCTTAAAAGCACTGGTGTCAGGACATGATCTTGGCAGCCTTGTGTTGGCAAAGCGGCGTGACGTTCGTGCAGGTCATCGGAATTCTCAGCCTGGTGGGACCGGGCACATGTTTGCATGTGGGTGGTTGTCAAAATTAGGGTCCCTTTTTGGGTCCTTATTATAATACGGCACCTATTAAATATTATTTAGGGTACCCCAAAAGGGACCATAATTTTGACAACTACCCATGTGACGATCCCTGTGCCCAAAACCCTAAACACCAAACTCCAAACCCAAAGCCCTGAAGTGTGCGAGAGAAAGGGCTATTGCAAAAAAAAAGAAGTCAGCCTCAGGTGCATCTGGCCGCTTTACATATCTACTGCAGTTTCTTCGATGACAAGTGTCTCGCACAACTTTGTGGGCGCCCTGGCGATCAGAAGAGTGGTGTACCCGGAGGTTCATGGGTAGTTATAAGTAGGGTTATAAGTAGGGTAACTATAATTATAACCCATATTAGGGGACTTGTAACCCCACTTATAACTACCCATGAACCTCCAAGTAGGGTTGGGGCTTAGAGCTTGGAGCTTGACTTTTTGAGACTTCTTGGTCGGCTTTCTTCTCGAACGAGCTCAGGAGCCACTTGTCCGTTCTCGTTGCATCCACGGAGGATACCACGCCGGAGGAGCCAATGAACTGTAATATATATATATATACACATACAAATCAATTTTAGGGAATGTTAGCGAGTACCCGTTGCAAGGACACCAGCTCGAAACAACTGCCACTTTGCCGTCGCTTGTGCAACACGATCTTGCCGATGCTTTACAAGTCGCTCGGCCAATTGCCTCTCCGAAGTCAGGGCATCATGCTTCGCACGATGGTCGTGAGGTCATCGCTTTCGTTGTTCGTCGTCATTATCATCATCAGCCTCTTTGTCGTTGTCCTTCTCAGTACCACCAGTCACCATTACGGTCAAGCAAAGCTGTTCGAGGCAAGTTACTCCGACTAAGCGAAAGCTCATGATTCTGGAAAATGTGCCGCAGGCGCCGAGACCGGTACCTTCAAGCATCCGATTGTAGATATGGTTTACTCCGCCGAGAGGAGCGAACACTACTGCCACATGCATCTCATGCGAAGAATGGTCGTGGGCTTCCGCTTGCTGTGCTAGCAACTTCAGTGCAGCAATTCTGCAGGCCTTCTTTGCCATCTGCTAAACCCTAAACCCTAAATCCCTAAACCCTACACCCTAAACCCTAAACCCTAAACCCTCTGCAGGCCTTCTTTGCCATCTGCTATCTCAAAGTGATTGGGGGCAGCCTCTTCGTTGGTTTGCTGAACCTCGCCATCCCGGTTCCTTGACCTCAACTTTGGAGGGTTCATGGGTAGTTATAAGTAGTTTAGGGTTTAGGGTTTAGGGTTTAGGGTTCAGGGGTCTATAAGAGGGTTCTATCAGGGGTCATATTTGGAGGTTCATGGGTAGTTATAAGGCTCCTTTAAGGGATCTATAAGAGGGTTCTATAAGGGCTCTATAAGGTGTCCTATAAGGGGTCTATAAGGGGTCATACTTGGAGGTTCATGG